CTAGTAATGTATTAATTAGAAAATGTTCAGAAGAAGTATTTGTGATTACAAAAGACTTACTAACACCTCCGATTACATTGTAGTTTTGGAGTTTGCTTTTAGTGCCGATAAAAGAGTCCATTCTAAGGTCAGGAGCCGACTGAAAGAAGATATTTTTAAAACATTAATGAGCGTGAAGAATTAACAAGACGCTTATTTCCGACTACAAGATAAGTAATATTGCGTGTCATCAGGTAAATGATATGTAATTTAATCACATTAATAAAATTTGTTATTTCATAATACAATTTTTGATTTTTTGAAATTTTTTACACATAACAAGTTGTTCGCGTACAATTTTAAACTGATCCCAAGCTCGGATGAAGTAGGAATTTTTTTTTAAGAAAAAAAAAGGAAATTCAGAGAGCTTATAGGCCAAGCTCGGCTTGGCCCACGAGCCACTATTTCAAGGGCTGAGCCAAGCTTGGCCCTTGAGTAACGAGCTGATTCAAAATGAGCCTCGAGAACAGGCCTAGGCCATTGTCACCCCTACTTATGTATAGTTGGCTTTTCTTCATAGTTAGAATAAGTTAAATAAGAAAATACAGTATCTTTGTATTATTTCTCTATATTATAGTGACTTCTCTAGTCTTCGACCAAATTTACTATGTTCTTCTTGCGTTGTGATCGCTATTTCATTTATTGCCATATAACCTCATTACTCTCTGACAAATGGCGTTAGCGCACATAACTACTTGGTTAGATTTGTTAAAAGTCTCAACAATATAACCACTTTCAGAGACTTCAAAGACCACTAGTTCCTTACATTTTCTTGTAAAATATGGAGATTTTCATAAGAAAATAAGAGGAGCTTAAAGTATGAAAACTAAAACTGTAAATCTTAGATATAGCTCGAATTTCAAATTTCAAATTCCAGATGAAAGATTTTTTTATTTTTTTTACTGCCAAAGAAATATTTTTAATTGTTACTTTGAGCACTAAATTAAAATATTTAGCATAGTTCATATAGCTTCGATAACAGTGTTTAATATTGCTTATAAGACATTTTTACTACATAAAGAAAAAAAAACTCTCGTTTTTAAGACATAATATGAAACTCTTTTTTCTTAAATGTCCATAGCTTTGTGTTTCTTGAACCCTTTCGTCCAAATATACTCCTAATAATTGCTACTTCCCGTATATAATAAATCAAACATAAAAACAATATAAAATAAACATTGACATCGGCGGCAAATCCAAGGTCAAAGTTCAGCTAGGGCGGACCTTTGCTATTGACCGTCGACAATTAACGATTGTAATAGCGATGTCGTTTATTAATATTTAATTTTTTTTTTCAATTTCCTAATTCCCTAAACAAAAATTCTCAAATCACAAATCAAAACTCATAAATGATAAATTACAATTCATAACTCAATGATAGTACAACATAAATTATTTATCCCAAATCACATATTCACAAATCACAATTCTCATTTCAATGCCAAATTGCCAATTAACTCATAGAATATACATTATGATTTATAAGTAAGGATAGACATAACTCATAAATAAAAAATAACACCAAAACCAAAAAAGAAAAAAAAAATTAAGAACTCACGACGGCAAGCTGCAGACGGGAGTTTTGAGTCTTCCGATCGTTCGACGCTTGAGTTGTCTAGTCCGGCAACTCGTCGACGTCGTTGGCAGGACAGGCTGCAGCAGGAGGTGGAGGCATCCCCCCGACATCAATGTGGAAATGGGAACAGACCGAACTGTGGAAACGAACCTTCAAATTGGTTTTGGTATATATATATCATTGCTCATTGGGCTTGGTCAATTAAAAAACAAAGGCCCAACTAAAAAAAAAGATTAAGCCCAAACAAAAGGCCCACCTTAAAAAAAAAAAGAAAAAGAAAACAGGAAGCGAAACCCTTGTCAATCTCATTCTTCCTTCTACCGGTCACTGTTCTGACGGAGCCCAGCACGTGTGACCATGCCCCCTCGCCGAGTGTTGGGTCCACCGTTGATTGACTTTATAAATACTCTTCTCTTTATATTGAAGAAAGTATGAGAGAAGAAAAATGCTTATTGGGACAAAACCTCCTACCATTTGGACTTATTGTGAAATATTCATGTATCCTTTCAGATCGACTAAAACTCCCCTATTTGACATTTGAAGTGCAAATCACCCCTTGCTATCCAGTTTCGTTAGTATAGGCGTTATAAACAGTAAATGTGATCAAAATTGAAAAGAAATAATTGTAATTATGATCCCCAAACCTTTTTTTTTTTTCAGATCATACCCAAATCTTTTATTTGTATCCACAATCCCAAATTAAAAACTTCATGTTCTTCCCCAATTTTAAAAGGGTAAAATAATAGTTTTATATTATTTCAAATAAAATAATTAAAATAAAAAATAAAAAAAAAACAAAAAAAATGAAAAATTTGCACCCTACGCTACCCCACTCCACCCCCATTTTCTTCCTCAATTCCCCCCCTTGTGATTTCCAATTGGATATTCCCTGCAGAGAATTCTCGGTGACTCTCGTCTGCGCCCAATGAAATTAACAATGCAACCAAGATAGTTGTCTTTAGTTTCTCAGATGTATTCTTTACCGTTGTTATATGAATCAATTTGAAGCTTCAAAATCTTGTCACGTCATTCACTATAAATATTAAATATTATGCTTAAATGACCATTGGAACTTCAAAAATACTGGTTGGTTTGTCCAATCTGTCGGTGCAAGCCAATGTAGAGAAGTCTGCAGGCAAAGAAAATTTGGACACAGTACTGATAGCAAGTGCTTAAGTAGACTCTAATAGAAGAAAATTTGGACTCGGGAATCATTCACATTTACATGCTCAAACACACCGATGAATGGAAAAGAAAGAAATGAGAAAACGGAGGCAAGATGATTGTTGGAGACTGATTACAATTTTACCCTTATAAAATTGGGGAAGAAGATGAAATTTAAAGTTTAGGATTGTGAGTGGCATAAATAAAAAATTTAGATACAATCTAAAAAAAAAAAAAAGTTTGCACAATTACAATTATTTCTTTTTAATTTTGATCACATTTACTGTTTTTAACATCTAAACTAACGGAATTGGACTGCAATGGATGGTTCACACCTCAAAGGTCATATATAGAGCATTCAGTCAATCTGAAAGCATAGGAGGTATTCCACCGTAGATCCAAAAGATAGGACGATGTTTCGCCAGCAAGTCGAAGAAAAAACACGGAGGCAAGATGATTGTTGGAGACTGATTGGCATCACGTATTCTCCAACACAACCTACTTGCCCAACTCTTTTCAACTCGCTCAGCCTGACCCTTCAGATATGTTAATGCAAATTGGGTCAGCTTACATGGCTTCTTCTCTCTTACAACTAATTCTCTGTCCTCATTGTTGACAACAAAAAATTTAGAACAATTCTATGTCAACCAAGAATGTGATTAATATTGATATCTACGTAATGGGGCTTGACTGCTTGCTTGATTTCCCCAAGGTCTGAAATGTCGGTTAATTTTCGACCACCAAGATGGTTGGGCAGTTGACCAGGGACTCGAAATCCAATACAAGAACTTGCCATTAGACCGGTGTATAAGTGTGTCAATACTCCAACCTTATGCGGACGAAACAAAAAAGTGAAGGGGAGAAATCAGAAAAAAGAACGAACACGGTTAAACCCAAACCTGTAATCTCGATCGAATATTGCCGGAAAGGTGCTGAAGACCATGGTGATCAGTTTATGAGAAGATCGCCGGCGATGGTTGCAGACTTGCAGAACAGAGACATGTGACTGTTGTTTTGTTTTTGTTGTGTGAGAACGGCAATGAAACCTAACTTATTTGACAAAAGGAAACATAATTTACTTGTCACGGTGAAATTCCTTATAATTGATGGGTGTTTCCATCTGTACAAGGCTCAATGCCTTCTCTAAGGACAATTGCCAAAGATCTCTGCAACTTCGTAGTTGTAACGATTTACAAGTACCTGATTTCTATGTTACTAGTTTGAAATCACTTGGTCATGCATGTTTGGTACATTGAAAGACACTTAACAAAACATTTAATCCAATGTACTAAACGTGCTAATTTCTGGTCTTTTCTCAACAAAAGGGATCTAAAATTCCCAGTAGTCAGTGACAAAGGACAGAGAGAAATGAGTAAAATCAACTGCCTAAATTAACATATATATATATACACAATCCAAGTTTAATCGCCCATTGTATATGAGGATGGATATGAAGAAAGTATTATCTGTAGAATCGTAGAATCATAGAATGAGGTGTATGACGTTCACACACACATTATAAAGAATAAATGGCAAATATATTATGATCAGCCACATTTGTATTTAATCAAAGGAATGCAGCAGCATATGCATAAATTAGGAAGTTTTTGGATTGGAAGAGATCCTTATCATGTCCACGAAGGCCTCATATTGAATCCAATGTACCCATTTTCATATATTCTCCAAGAATCTTGACGAATTGAAATTCTCCTTCGCTCTTCAAGATATAATTATTCAAGGGGAAATATAGAAAAAAAATAACATATAATGAATTATAATGTTTACATGATAATAATTTTGCTGCTGCTTTATATTAATGACTAGTGTGAAGAGCAAATGAAGAGGATAAGAACAAAGGTAATGACATTCTTCACCTAATGAAGATAGTTTATGGAACCAAAAGGTTTTCTTACACACAACATCTTACAGTAGATTAACCAGATATCTAAATGTTGTCTAATTATTCACACTAAATGCATAAAATCATTTGTTCAATAACTGAACTAATTTGCAGTACAGATTTTGGGGTCACAAAACAGCTACAACACACTGCAACACAACAATGGACCTTAAAAATCTTCAGAATGATAGCCAAGTTTCCCGCAACAGCAACATATAATAAGGTTTTAGGAGATTAATAGTGAAATAGAAAATAGATTTTGATTCAAATAATTAATTGTTTTGTGTTCTCATTAAGAAGTAAACCTTTTGCTTTGTTGCTTTAACAAAATTGAGTTTTAATCTTCTTGAGCCTTGTTAGAACATCCTTAATATTGAGCCTCTCCACGGGCAAATCATTCGTGCATTCTAGTGCTAGTTCCATAATTAATCTGAAGCAGCTCTCCTTAGCTCGAATGTTGTCTTCAGTAGCATTCAATAGATCAACATCAACTATGTGCGTTATTGCATCTGGGAATGATTCAAGCACCCATTTCCTCATTGTGAATTCTCCAACAAAAATAGCATCTGTTGGCTTCTTCTTGGTAAATATTTCCATCATCATAATCCCATAACTGTAAACATCTGCCATAGTTGATAGTAATCCTGTTGATCCATACTCTACAAAATTGGGACTTTTGATCAAATTAACTAGTGAAATGTTAAAGGATGGATAAATAAATGAGAACTAATAAGTGATAAACGGTTTTATTTTTAACATGCGCAACTTAATACGTAGTTGACAAAAACCATTTACCTGGAGACATATATCCAATGGTGCCCAACGTCTTGGTAATCAAAATTCTCTGGTCTTCAGTGAAAAGCATGGAAATGCCAAAGTCTGCAACATGAGCAACCATATCTTCATCTAAAAGTAAGATGCTGTGCTTCAAATCNACAATGAACAATTGGAGAGGGATACCCATGATGTAGATACTCCAGTGCACATGCCACATCTATCATTATTTGTAACCTTTGAGCTATATTTAATAAATAGTTGCTTGAGGACAGCAATCTGGTAAGGTTTCCATTGGGCATATATTCTAGCACCAAGGCTTTAAGATCAAGGTTTGAGCAACTACTAATTACCTTGACAAGGTTTCTGTGACGAATATTGCAAAGTATTTGGCACTCGTTATCAAAACTTTGGTGGGCAGCTTCCAAATCTAGATTAAAAAGCTTAATAGCAGCAATCATTCCATCTGAAAATATTCCCTTGTACACTGAACCAATACTGCCTTTGTCAATCAGATTCTCTTCACCAAATTTATTGGTAGCATTTAAAACTTCATAATATGAAATCCTCTTGACAGCTATGGGGGAACCAGACCGAGCTGGAAGAAGTGTATTTCTGCCATGGCGTCTTATTAAATAAACCACAATAATGGCCAGACTTAATACAACAACAATTGAAGGTAAAATGTACTTCAAAATGCTGGAACTTCTTGATAATCTAGTTTTATTATCTTTGCAAGACTTGACCAGAAATTGAGATGCTCCACACAATTCTCTGTTGCCTGTGAAAAAATCTGATGTGAAGTTCTTAAAAGGCCCTCCATTTGGAATTTCACCATTGAGTTCATTGAATGAAACATTGAAATACTGAAGGTGGTCAAGTTTCTCTAGTGACTTGGGGATTACACCATAGAGACTGTTATTGGACAGATCCAAATTTTGCAACGAAATCAAATTACTAAAGGACTCTGGTATAGGACCATATAACCGATTGTTTGATAATATTAGATCTTCCAAATTCTGAAGTTGTCCTATGGTACTTGGAATATCACCTGAGAATCGATTTCCTGATAAATTTATCAGTATCATGCTCTTAATGTTGCCGATTTCTGGAGCCAGCGACCCACTTAGAAAATTATAAGCTAAATTCAAAAACTGAATTTCCTTGTTATTCCACAGTGTGGATGGGATACTGGAAGTCAATGAGTTGTAATCTACATAAATCTCTCGTAAAGCGGTAAGATTTCCTAAACAAGTTGGTAGCTGTTGCGAAAGCTTATTAACCCCCAAATCTATAAGATACAGATTTACCAAATTGCAAAGGTTGACAGGCAGTGACCCTTGTAGTTTATTGTCATAGAGTCTTAGCTCTTGCAAATTTCTTAATTGACCCAATGTGTCAGGAATTTTTCCTGTCAATTCATTGTTTCCAATGCCTAACTCGATCAAGTTGCTCAAGTTACCGATTTCATTCGGAATGATACCTTTAATACCATTAAGATCGGCGTCGAACCTTTCAATAGATGCTGACAAATTACCCATGGATTTTGGTAGTATTCCGTCAAAAGAATTGTTTTCCATCCGTATGATCTTCAACTTCCTACAATTTTCCAATGAAACAAGAAAATCCAATTCGAGCATTGAAGGATCATTTGTCAACTGATTAAAACGAAAACTTAGAATTTGAAGGTTCTGTAAATTCCCGAGATTCATGGGTACTCGTCCAGTGAAGGAGTTGTGACCAAGATACAACCTAGTAAGCTTCGAAAAATATGAAATAGAGGCAGGGATTTCTCCACTCAAGACCAAGATCCAACCTAGTAAGCTTCGAAAAATTTGAAATAGAGGCAGGGATTTCTCCACTCAACTGATTGGCACCAAGTAAGAGATGTTCGAGATCAGGGAGCCCATTGGCAATTGACGATGGAAGATTTCCGGAGATACTATTGTTAGTAAAAGTAAGTTTTTGTAACTTGGAGAGATTGAAGATGGATTCAGGTATTTGGCCATGAAGACCGCTTTCAAAAATTAAGAGTACCTTCAACTTCGATAAATTGCCAATTGAATGTGGAATTGTGCCTGTAGAAGGTGTTTGTAAACACACTCAAATTAATGAATATCGGAAGTACTAATAAGTAGTAAATACGTACTTAAGTGTTGAGAATTAAAAATCTATTCTACCGAGAACATTGAATTAGCAACAAAAAAAAAAAGACATAAAAGATTTATAGAGGTTTGCCTCAATGTGAGGTTACGTCATCTTTCACTATTGCAATAATTCACAATCATGAAAACGAGTTTACTAGAGAAAATCGCACACGTACCGTTTCTAACTTTTCCTTCTCTCTTTTTTTATGGATAGATTAAAAGCCTAATGACGGCTCCTTATTTATAAGAAAAATTAGGACAAAATCGAAATTTACAAGGACACAAATTTCTAATACAAAATTTACAAGGACATGCAAAGCAACATTAATTAGGCTCCACAACTTAACATTAAGATATTCGAATACAAATATAATTATTGAAGTACTAATGAGTTTCCAATTTCATATGGAATGCTTCCTAGGAATACACTTTAGAATATTAAAAATTGAAACATTAAGAATTTGATGTTATCACGATGTATTTCCATTAATTATTTGAATAATGCTACACAGGTGGAAACACATTTGTCAAAAGAGTGTAAAATGCCTTGGTGGTTCATTTTGATTTTCCATCATCATAAAATTTTTTGTTATACATGACAATTGTTGGTTTAGAGTTTCAGTATGAATCTTTGTCATCACACTAAATAAAAAAATTGAAATGGATTTAATAAGTATTCTAAAAAGTATGTCTAGGCTTTAACTCAATTTTATTGCGTAACCATGCTTTAAGTTTTCTATGCCTAGCCCGTTTAGGCTCGTAAAAGTGTGAAGTTTGACCTTGACGAATAGTCACACTTTACTCTTTTTACAACACTAAATTTATTAGCTAAAATAAGTCTAGGAGATCTAGTTACGTTACATACCACTGAAACCATTGGACCTCAAAAATAAATATGCAAGCGCCAATAGGTTTCCAATTTCATTTGGAATGTTTCATGTCAATCAATTTAATCATATAGATATTGAAATTTCAAATGTTAAATTAATACAAAATAGATTTGAGCCACATTATTTTGAAAGAATATATTTTGGAATAGTAGATTGATGGAGAATGTGTAGTTGAAAAAGAAAGAAATGTTATTGATATGATGGAAAATATTATTTTATTGAAAAATGTGTGGTTGAAAATGAGTAGAAAAATGAGAATGAAAATTTTAATGTTGCTCGAACGGGGGCTTAATGAAAGAGAATAAGTGCCAATTAATTAAAATTTTGATAGTTAAGTACCTATGAAGTTATTGTATAATATATTTCTAATAGTTATTTGGAAAAAGCCATATATTTTGAAAATCATGTCCGAAGAGCGTAAAATGCCTAGTTGGTAACTTAAACTTCATTTAAGTTTTCCATCAGCATAAAAATCTTTATTATATATGAAAATTTTAAATTTATTTACGTAACTGAAATTTCATCTTAGGTCCTCAAACTAACAAATTAAAAATTTGAAAAATCAAATTATTAATGAAAAGATTATAAAATACTGACTAAATATTATAATAAGGCTAATCACTAGCGACATCCATCTAAATAAAAGCCGATTGGGAACGTAGGATTTGATGTTTTTAAGACTGTTGTCAATACTGATTTTATTCATTGTACCATCATGTCATAATTGAATATTGCATCTTTTTTTGCTTAAAAGGGTGTGATGACATCTTTAATTCTTTATATTGCTTTGTTAGTCGACTTTTCTACATGCCTTTGCATATGTATGGGCCAAAATTGGTTCCTAGTTTCAAAATGCACAATGGAGGTTTCAGAGGTAAGTACATACATAACTTCTAGTCTAGCTATGTAAAAGGACATACTCCATGAGCATCAACACTCTGATCACTATGTATGTAAGAGATGTTTTATGATGTGAAATGACAACTCTTTATACGTACGTACCTGTCAAATTATTTCCTCCAAGATCGAGAGATTGAAGCTTTGACAAGTTCCCTACTTCCATTGGAATTCTTCCGGAGAAATGATTGTACGACAGAGAAAGTAGTTCAAGATTCTTGCATGTTCCCAAGCTCGGAGGAATGTTGCCACTTATTTGATTCCATGAAATTCTTAGCTTCTCTAGCTTTGTAAGATTGCAACAGATGTCAAGAGGAAGACTTCCTGTGAGACTATTTTTGCTTAAACCAATTTCTATTAAAGAAGAGAGGTTAAAAATCCTATTTGGAACATTCCCATCTAGTGTGTTATCGGAGAGATTTAATTTTTGTAGATTTTCAAGAGATCCAAGACTTGCTGGAATAGGACCATTTATCTCATTTTCCTGCATCTCTATTTCTCGAAGCTGGCTTAAATTACCAATTTCATCGGGAATAAATCCGTGGAAGTTATTATTGCTAATAATCAATGATCTCAAAAAAGAGAGTTCACCGATTTCTTTAGCAATAGTACCTCCTAAACCCATATATGCTAGATTCAAATACTTAACTCTCCGATGTCTCCTGCCACAAGTAATGCCAATCCAATTGCAGAACGAGGTTCCTTGTGACCAATTTTTAGCCAATATTTTATTTGGATCAGTAATTTGAGATTTGAAGGATAGAAGAGCATACTCATCACTGGAGCTATTTAGAGATGAAACAATGCTGATAAGAAAGTAAAGCATTGCCAACGACATAAAGATGACATTCTTTCCCATTGCCAATTTGAAATGCATATAGAACATTGGGAGGGGGCTTGTAATGATGAGTTTGATAAAAATGAGCGTGTTTGTGTGTGTCTGTGTGTCTATATATATATATATATAATAGCTTCCCGCAACATAAATGCATTCTCATTTAGGTCAACATACTATGTATATTAGCTTTCCACTAATTTTCCAGTATCTTTCCGCTAATTGTTTTCCATGTGGAAGTTTGTGCAAGTGAATTTCTAACAGTGAATGAAGAAAACAACAAATGGCTGGCGTTCGACAAACGGTGGTTAAGCACACAGTTAGTTTCAATAATATATAGGAAATGTGCTCATCACACCATTATGGACCCCACTATCCATAAATAAACAAACTTTGTTTGACTATCAAACCGGAGAAATTATTCCATTGGATGCAGTATCTTTCATTGTGGAAATTGTGGAAGTTTGTCGGCAAATGAAAGTTGCATTCTTCTAATAATCCAAAAGAAATACTAACTCTTCCATTGGATGCAGTATCTTTCATTGTGGAAATTGTGGAAGTTTTTCCACAAATGAAAGTTGCATTCTTTTAATAATTCAAAAGAAATATTAAGTTTAAGATACTTCAAGATCCACTTATACCCCACATTTTCTAGTAGAATATGGAGAATTTCTAAAGAAAATAAAAGTACCTTAAAGTGTTGTCAGCTGTAAATTCTAAACGGTTTATCTTATGTAAATGTAGATATAACTTGAATTTTCATTTATAGAGGAGATTTATTATTTATTTATTTTTTTGATAGTCAGAATAACCTTTTTATGGTCATTAAGAACTCTTGATTTTAAGTTATTTAGATTAATGTCATACCATTGGTATATTTAAAAAATAAAAATCGGGTGCACTAGATATATCAACTCTAGCTATCAAAAATCGGACTAGAATCGACTGGTTCTTGCTTTTAATAACCAAAATCGATTTCAATTTAAGCAGAACAAGCCCATCCCTACCCAGGTGATTCAATATTACCCAATGTTCTCCTCTCTTATAGTTCTTATTCTGTCTTCAATGTTGACGTAAAAAATTGTCAAGCACTTCCATGTTAACAATACGTGTGATTAATGTTGAAATCTACCTAATGGGCTTGATGTGCTTGCTTAATTGTCTGAAGGCCTAAAACTACTGTTAATTTTTCGACCCAAAAATGGTCGGACAGTCGATCAAGAAATTGATCTTCCCATTAGATTGTAGTATAAGTGTAAGAAAAGATGCACAAGTAAATCTATAAAAAAACGAGATAGGATACAAATCCTATTGAAGTAACCCAATGGGATACCAAAGGGGTAATGCAATTTGATAGATATATGTAATTATTTTTTTGCTCTAGCTCAAAGATCATGTTACTCGAGTCACATGACCCGATGGAAGAGCTTAGAAGCAGGCTATTACAAAAATCCAAGAGATCTTCCATTCAGGCTCAGTTTAATCACCAAACGAGCACCAATGAAACCAAGGTCGACTCACAACAAACTACTCCGATTGCGACAAGCTCTACATCCTAAAAAGGAGACACTATGGTGGTGGTGATCTGCATGCCACAAAGGAAAAATAAAATAAAATAAAATAAAAAGGGGTGAAAACGCCTACAATATGGATTGCAGCCATTGGTTTTTCACTCACAAAGAGAAGCCAACTTTTTCTTTCGTTCCACAAATCACACACACACACACGAGCTCACGGCTAGAATAGGGGTATATAAAGCCTCAACTTAGGTCACCACCAATAGGGCCAAACACATAGTAATTGGGCCAATATAAACGACCACATAGGCTACTTAAAACCAAAGGCAAACATAATAACAATTGGGCCAAAACTGACACATCCATCAACAAACCCAACTCCAACTCGAGCCATCCACGAGTGTTGGGCCACGAGCAACATTAAGTTAATTAAGCTACTTATAGTCGCTTAAATTGTTTTCGGCACGAGTTATCACTAAGGTCTCGTTAAAAAAATTTCCAACATGTTTTTAACATTATCGCCTCGGATTTATTTGATATCAAAGCCCAACAAATCTCCACTATGATACACAATCAACCTGTAAGCAAACAGAACACAAAGTTTATACTTGCATAATCAATATAACCAATTAAATTGGAATGACAAACCTTACCTTGTGTTTCAAACCTGAAAAGTATACCATACCTTCTCCATACACTCACCTTGGCTAATGTCTAAAAACACCTAAGTAGAAGCAGATCATCATATTAATCAATCAAGATCAAATAAAAAATGCGATGAAGAAATAACATAGGATAACACATATCTTTTCAAAAATATTTACATAGAACAACATATTAACACCAAGTTAATCAATCAAATTGTCAAACACATCCAAAAAATGCATAAATGACCCAAGAAAATATCTCACCATACTCATCCTATCTCATTCGTGTTGCTTGCACATTGAGAACACATATCTTCTCTTATTGCCCACCATGTTTACTAGGCCGGTCACTAACCTTATATCTTACTGATAAATCACTATAATTTCTAAATTCATGGGATAATCCTCTATCTCTATCTCACTTCTCTCAACCTAAGTGGATAATAGGTCTCCACCTAACAGAAGTGATAGAAGTGTTTCTGCCACACTCCACCTGATCAAGGTCTTTCATAGATAGAGAATTCAACATTTAATCACCTCTTCACTCGTGATCCAAATGTCACTCTCCATATTCCCGTGCATATTACCAATGTACACTTATGCATTTATACTCTACATTACCAGTAGACATTATCACACTCACCGCTAATGCATCTCAAACCCACTATAGCAAATCGACATATTTTGGCGACCACAAAGATTAGGGCTCAATTTAAATCGGCTCACATACCACAAAGTTACTCCAATACTAATGTTCTAGAAGTCCACAAAGAATTTATCCCACAAAAGGAAAGGTTGAAGGTAATAGTCACAAAGAGAATAGAAGAAATAATTGGTTACTTTACTACACATATAAAAGAGACTCACAAAGAGGAAGAAGATAACACACACATGGATGTCCCATATAATCTCACAATCCATACAGGCTCACAAAGATGAAGGAGAAAAATAGTCTCCCCTCTTTCTTCTCACTACCACACTCTCTCACATCACTTACAGAGCAAAAGAAGTATGACATATATCTCAATCCACTATGTACGCAAACACATTATACAAATTAATCAGATTGCTCTCAAATTCATGCAAATGCACATATCAAACATACTGAAATGTCATATAACCACAACCAAATTAGGCAATCGCACATGCAGAAAGGATTACACACAGATGTACATGTAATAACCAGGTTTACTCTCAATAAACCTCACATGGCTTATAACTAGACCCAATGGTAACGTTCACTCCACCTCTCTCTATATCTTTCCTTCTATTATCCTTCATAAAACAGTCTCTTTTAACATCCACAATTAAAATATCATACTTTTCGTACTTACCTTAGATCAATATTTCCTATCAACAGTTTTATAAAAAACTTTTCGTTTTACCATATTGAAAAATGACTTTTTTTTTATTAGAAAAACACAACTCAAAATATATTGTCATTTTACCAAAAAATGCACAAAACACAAAATGTAACCATCAATGACCGCAAGTAAAGTACAGACATAATTCACACAAAATAGTTAAACAAACTTTTCTAAGATCGCGTAGAATTTAATAGTGAAGAAACAGAATAACAACAAATTCATAAAGAACTCAAGGCAAATAATTAATAAGTAATTACTAGGTTTCACGAAGTGCCTTTCTTCTATCACAGAAAGGGACACCATGTGGCAGTAGTCTGCTCCGTTAGACTACCTTCCGCCTTCTCTCGATCGTTTCGGGATGAAAGAAAATTTGATTACAATTTGTAGAAAGCTTGCAACATGAAATTGAAATGCATTGAAAGTAAATTGATTATTGATTGCTTGAAAGTTAGAAATTACAATTGATGAAAGCAGGAAATTACAATGACTAGTGCAGGGGGAACACTAGAAAGCTCGAAAGATTGTTTGAAAGACTAATACCCCTATAATAGCATTCTGAACAAAAACTTAAGTGATAGGAGTAGACGTTTAATTGCCGATGAATCATACTAAACGTTTTTAAATATCACAGCTACTTTACAATTGAAATAAAATATTTACAACGTTTTTCAAAAAAGAGAATGCTCGCTCAGTATTCATAAATGTAGTAAATTATGCTCGATTGGGAAGGTTAAGAAGAGAATAGCTCCACTTTGCAAGTTATCAAATTTTCAAAGCAATTGATGAAACAACAACATCAATAGATACATTATTTGTAATACCATACTAACAATGTAACTTAAATTATTTTCAAACTATCATCATGATTAAAATCATGATTATTCCACAATAAGAAGGACAAGCATAACACACTTGCATTTCCTTTAAAGAAACTTCATCATTGTCGTGGGTCCTTCACTTTCATTTCATCAACATGGTTTGCCACGCAAAATAGCAATAGAGCTTTTCCAGATTTTTAAAAGAAAATGCCAAAAAAAGCAGAATAGTTTCTTGTTAGTTTTAAAGTCATTTTAATTAAAAAAATAATAATAATTTGTTCTAATAAATTAAGATTAGCACAATTAGTAAGAAATCATCTCAGTAACAATTCAAGAAAATCACCCGGAGAGATCAGGGCTCTGTCCAATACGTTATTCCATGACCAGTAAAATTATTTTTTTTAAAAAAAACTTAAAAACTAGTTCAAAACACTGAATTAAAAATGGTGGTCAAAAGAACACGAGGTTTACAGTGGGTAAAGTATTACCTTAATGGCTCTGGTGAAACGATCTTCGTTGAGGATGAGCTTCTGAACCTTGATCTCTCTCATTGATTTGACAGCTTCTTCTCTGACGCCTACTCTCACACATTTTCACACATTGGCGCAAATACACAAATTAGCACGGCGATTTATTAAACATACACTTACATGAATTCATGCATAGAGAAAGCAA